ATTTGAATTTGAATGAGTTACAAAACTTTAACTTTGACTAAGTTAAACTATTATTAATATTCTTAAATCTTAAACACTAAATAAGTCATTTTCAGCTCAACATAGTTAAATCTAACAACCCAACAAACTTCTTACTGGTGGTAGGACCTCTTGTGAGTCCGCACGGGTAGGTACCAACCCCGCCTATTTCTGCCGTGAAGCAGTAAGCGTTTCGGTTTGAAGGGGGGGCACCGTTGTAACTATACTGAGACCTTAGAACTTATATCTCAAGGTGGGTGGCGGCATTTACGTTGTAGATGTCTATGGCTCCGTAACCACTTAACACCAGGTGGGACCGACGCTCGTCCACACATCTAAAATAAAAATAATAAAAACCTCTGTGATTACAGGTCGGTATAAAAATAGTCTCGGCCGACGGCAAGTCCGCTAAAGAATTCGAATTGATACTCAAGAAGAACAATGCCTATAACTCTGAAAATAAAGGTAAGCAGATCACTGTAATTTATATAGAAAAATATTTAATTTATTGTGTTCTGTCATCATTTTGAGTCACGAGAGAATTGTATATGCTATATCATCTTCTCACATTAAAACTGTATAATCTCAAAACTTACTAATTTTACAGGAGAGTGTTTTAAAGGTTTAACATGTGATATTTTTAATATTAATCATCTTTGCAACATTTATTTTTTATTTTTTATTTTTTACCAGTTACATTATCTGTCTTTTAAAGTAAGATAAAATTATGTATTAATTTTGTTAATAGTAGTCAAAATATAGGAAACTAGCTAAAACTAAACTACGCTCTTTTGACAGTATTTATGAGAAAAATACTGGTGATACCAAATGATTCCGCATATTAACTCAATTAATGCGAATTAACTTTTAATGCGAAAAGACGATACGTGTAATAATAAAACTGATGTTTATATAAAATCGCTCGACTCTGGGATTTACAAATCAAATAAGCATGTTTGTAGATACAGAAAAACTAGAAGCCGAAGAGGACGGCGTCGGTGGCAGCTGCGAAGAGAAATCCAACGAGCCTGACTCCTGTACTGACGACGAGAAACAATCCCGATTGAATCACGGTGAGATTTGCTTCAATTCTAAATCCAAATGTTGGAGAAAAAAAAAACTAATTCAGTTATTTCCGTTTATCTATATAATAATACGTGAAGCAAAAACTTTGTATGATTTGTATTTGATGGAGGAGTATGAAATTTTCCACACTTATAGATTATGCAGACAGGGAGTGCAGTTTTTTTTTTTCTTTTTCTTTAGACGTGTTGGTCTTAGTGGACGAGCTCACAGCCCACCTGGTGTTAAGTGGTTACTGGAGCCCATAGACATCTACAACGTAAATGCGCCACACACCTTGAGATATAGTTCTAAGGTCTCAGTATAGTCACAACGGCTGCCCCACCCTTCAAACCGAAACGCATTACTGCTTCATGGCAGAAATTTTTTATTCTATCTATATAATATAGAAATGAATTGCTGTTCGTTAGTCTCGCTAAAACTCGAGAACGGCTAGACCGATGTGGCTAATTTTGGTCTTGCAATATTTGTGGAAGTCCAGAGAAGGTTTAAAAGGTAAATAAATATTAAAATGCTCGGAATTAAATAAAATTAACAGTTTTGTTTTCCCTTTGATGTCCCCCGTCGGACGGATTCCTTTTGTTGAAGTTTATTTTATACTAAAGCTTAGGTCTTTTATTTATCGATTGGGGCACTGCGAAGTCTGCCGGGTCAACTAGTTATGCCTGACATTAAGGGAACCCCGGCCGTAATGGGACGCACGGAAGACCGTGCGCCCTCGACCGCGACAAAGAAGGTTCTGCCCTCCAGATACGACCCGAGCAGTCGCACGTGAGCGTGCGGTAGGCCCGCGTCCCGCAGCTTGTGGACCAGCCCCTCGTGCCACACACGGTCGAAGGCCTTCTCGATATCGAGAAGGACCGCGACCGTGTATTGGCCCGAGTTTCGCCGGTCCGCCAAGTGATGCAGGACACGGGTCAGTTGCAGAGTCGTCGAGTGGCCGCTTCTAAAGCCGAATTGCTCCGGCCTGAGGAGAATATACGGCGATATTCTCCTCAGGAGCAGCCGCTCGAACAACTTGCCCACGTGCGAGAGCAAGGTAATCGGTCGGTAACTGGAGGGCTTTCTCCTGTCCTTGCCGGGTTTGGGCAAGACGATGATCTTGCCCAGTTTCCAAGTTCCAGGGAAGTGTTCTACCCGGAGAATGGAATTAAACAATCGTGTCATTGCTGACACGATTAGCTTAATGAGGAGGCGCACCTCGCTGGGAGTGACTAAGTCGTCATCTCCCAGCTCGGCTCCCGGCGATTCCGGTTTGAGGAATTGGATTACACCCTCTGACACCTCGCGATGGAATGCAACCATCGAGGGTGCAGAGACATTCGGAGTGAACTGCCGCTCCAGCGAGTTGGCCAGGACTTCGGCACGAGCCAACGGTGTAAAACACCGTCTTCCCCCCTCGTCCTCCAAGGGGCAAGTAGGGGAAGGCTTGTTGGTGAGACGGCGACAGATGCGGTGAAGGGGGGCCATCGTACGGTCGTCGGACGCGTCCAACAGCCCCCCCTCCCAGGAGTCACCCCGGTAAGTCCGCATCTTAGTCGCCAGCTCTACCTCAAGTCGGTTTAGCTCGCGCTTAATCCTGGGACACCTAGATGTCGCCCAGAGCCTCCTCAGTGTCCTCTTCCGACGAATTAACGTCTTGAGGTGCACCGGGAGTTCCGCTCTGGGCCCCCCGCTGGGTACCAGAGTCGTCACTTGGTCAAGGGCTCCCCTGATGGTGTCGACGAGACGGGAAGCCGCCGTGTCGACCTCATCAGGGGTAGACGGGTCTTGAAACAAGGATTGGTCGGCCAGCAGTCCCGTAAAGGACTGCCAGTCAACCCTAGGCCTGAGAGGGGATGTCGCGACCCGAGTGAGCCCCAAACCCACCGTGACCAAGATCGGTAGGTGAGGGGTACTCAGGTCGTACAGTGCCTCTATCGCTAGAGGGCACCGTAGCCCCTTATGAACACACACGTCCAATACGTCCGGTTGGTACCGGGCCAACGTTGGAACGTGGGTGGGTTCGTTGGGGCCGACCACGCAGTAGTCCCCCCGTCGGGGTTCCAATAGATGATGCGCAGCTCCTGGCTAGCCATTGAGCTGCGCAATCATCCGGTAGAACCCCGCGAGCAAGGCCCCGAAGGGACTGGCTCCCGAGGCAATCTCTCGGATTACTCCGGAGATCACCTCGGACAGTTTCTCCCACAGGGAGAGGAGCCAGGCAGCGAAGCGGGCAGGCTGCGTGTCCTGTCGGCCACTGCGCCACTATCTCTGCGGGCGAGGTGGTAATGGGGGCTGTGAGTCGCCTAGAGTGATGTTAGCGTTCTGGGGCGGGTCGCTGGCTGTCGTCTCCATTGGGCATGGAGGTTCGGTAGCTGGCTCAACTTGGCCTTCTCTCAGGGCAGCTGCTTCTTCCATTGCTTTTTTTTTCTTTTCTTTGGCCTTTTTTTTTCTTATTTTTTTTTTGAGTTTTTGTTAGAGTTAGGGCAGCTTGTAGGTTGGATGCTGCCTTATTACTGGAACGAGGGGCAGGTCGCGGCTTTATAGCCTGTCGCTGCGGGTTCGCTTCTGCCATCAGGGTGGCCGCTGTTGGGTTGGCCTCCACAGTGGCAGGTTGCTCTGTAACCGGAGGGAGAGTGGGGGGTTGAGAGGTCTTCCCCTTGCCCNAACAAACATAGGCTTGCGTTGCCGGCGGCTCGAATTAAGAAAATAAGCAACTCTTTCAGGGGGCTGGGTGTACAACTTTTCAACAAGATCCCACAAAACGTTCAACTACTACCTGTTCATAGATTTAAGAAAACTGTCAAGGAACGTTTGTGCAACAAGGCATATTATAAAGTTAAGGATTTTTTACTAGATGGCACTATGTGGGAATGAGGCGTTCGCTCCTGGCCTTTTCATTTTTCATTATTATTATTATTTGTTTGAATTGTATTTTTTTTGCCTTGTTTTTTCGTATACTGTAAATATGTTTTCTTGTTTAAAAAAAAAAAGAAAATATTTGAGAATATCCAAAAAAAAAGCCCGCTGAGTTTGTTTCGCCGGTTCTTCTCAGGACTGTGGCTTTTTTTGGAACCGGTGGTAGAGTTAACATTTTCTTTTACATTTTGACATTCAACAAGTGTGTTTTTGATGACATCTAAGTTGAAATAAATGATTTTGAATTTGAATTTGAATGAGTTACAAAACTTTAACTTTGACTAAGTTAAACTATTATTAATATTCTTAAATCTTAAACACTAAATAAGTCATTTTCAGCTCAACATAGTTAAATCTAACAACCCAACAAACTTCTTACTGGTGGTAGGACCTCTTGTGAGTCCGCACGGGTTGTTACCATAACCCCGCCTATTTCTGCCGTGAAGCAGTAAGCGTTTCGGTTTGAAGGGCGGGGCAACCGTTGTAACTATACTGAGACTTTAGAACTCATGTCTCAAGGTGGGTGGCGGCATTTACGTTGTAGATGTCTATTGGCTCCGGTAACCACTTAACACCAGGTGGACCGTACGCTCGTCCACACATCTAAACAATAAAAATAATAAAAACCTCTGTGATTACAGGTCGGTATAAAAATAGTCTCGGCCGACGGCAAGTCCGCTAAAGAATTCGAATTGATACTCAAGAAGAACAATGCCTATAACTCTGAAAATAAAGGTAAGCAGATCACTGTAATTTATATAGAAAAATATTTAATTTATTGTGTTCTGTCATCATTTTGAGTCACGAGAGAATTGTATATGCTATATCATCTTCTCACATTAAAACTGTGTAATCTCAAAACCTACTATTTTTACAGGAGAGTGTTTTAAAGGTCTAACATGTGATATTTTTAATATTAATCATCTTTGCAACATTAATTTTTTATTTTTTACCAGTTACATTATCTGTCTTTTAAAGTAAGATAAAATTATGTATTAATTTTGTTAATAGTAGTCAAAATATAGGAAAACTAAAAAAAAAAAACTAAAACTAAACTACGCTCTTTTGACAGTATTTATGAGAAAAATACTGGTGATACCAAATGATTCCGCATATTAACTCAATTAATGCGAATTAACTTTTAATGCGAAAAGACGATACGTGTAATAATAAAACTGATGTTTATATAAAATCGCTCGACTCTGGGATTTACAAATCAAATAAGCATGTTTGTAGATACAGAAAAACTAGAAGCCGAAGAGGACGGCGTCGGTGGCAGCTGCGAAGAGAAATCCAACGAGCCTGACTCCTGTACTGACGACGAGAAACAATCCCGATTGAATCACGGTGAGATTTGCTTCAATTCTAAATCCAAATGTTGGAGAAAAAAAAAACTAATTCAGTTATTTCCGTTTATCTATATAATAATACGTGAAGCAAAAACTTTGTATGATTTGTATTTGATGGAGGAGTATGAAATTTTCCACACTTATAGATTATGCAGACAGGGAGTGCAGTTTTTTTTTTTCTTTTTCTTTAGACGTGTTGGTCTTAGGGTGGACGAGCTCACAGCCCACCTGGTGATAAGTGGTTACTGGAGCCCATAGACATCTACAAAGTAAATGCGCCACCCACCTTGAGAAATAAGTTCTAAGGTCTCAGTATAGTTACAACGGCTGTCCTACCCTTCAAACCAAAACGCATTACTGCTTCATGTTAATTATTTTTTATTCTATCTATATAATATAGAAATGAATTGCTGTTCGTTAGTCTCGCTAAAACTCGAGAACGGCTAGACCGATGTGGCTAATTTTGGTCTTGCAATATTTGTGGAAGTCCAGAGAAGGTTTAAAAGGTAAATAAATATTAAAATGCTCGGAATTAAATAAAATTAACAGTTTTGTTTTCCCTTTGATGTCCCCCGTCGGACGGATTCCTTTTGTTGAAGTTTATTTTATACTAAAGCTTAGGTCTTTTATTTATCGATTGGGGCACTGCGAAGTCTGCCGGGTCAACTAGTTATGCCTAAAAAAGACATTAATTCAATAAAAGAAACATAACACACAACTATAGTACCATATATTTAACACACACAAACACACGAAACATATACTCTGCGTTTATTGTCAACCTTTTGTTACTGTTTAGTCTGTGGTCAAATTGACCATAGATTAATAGTGTTTATCTTTAATATTATCTATCTATAATGTAGTCATGGCGAAATTTGTGATTATAGGAAGTAAGATAATAGTCTTTAATTCCATAATAATGTTGAAACTTATAATTACAATTAAATATAGTCGAATTTCGACTACTGGGGGACCACTAGTTATATGTTTAAATTGGCTGTGCGGTCGCCTATCATAGCATCATCTCATCTCTTCACGGGATGTCAGTATATACTAACTAAAGTGATCGCCGACCGACATTCACTGATAAGATGTGCTGTAAACTCGCACGGGCTTCGAAATGACATTCACTGATGTCCATGGCCTCTGGGATCCGCTTATCACCGGGTGAGCCGTCAGCTGTTTGACTCTTAAACAAGTAAACAAATAAAATAATCATAAACACTAATTATGAATACATAAGTACCTTTTTCAATATTCAATTGTTTCTGGTTGAGTATGTAACGTTCTTTAGTAAAAATTAAAAACAAAACATCCTTATGTATACATTATTTTTATTATTTTTCAATATAGTTCATATAAACACTCAGCGAATATAAAACCAAATCTATACAAGTTGTATTGTCATGTATATCATGATGTTACTCACTAAAATTCCCAATTGTTTCCTGGCAGCAGGGATTCGTTTTAAAATTATTAGTAATCGTTTATTTTTTATGAGCTAACGTTGTTTTCAATAGCCTACAGTTATCCATCGCTTGATATAGACATGTATATGTATAGTTATAAATGTAGTTTTTTTTTCTTTCAGAACCCGGACACGAGGAGAGGTCTAGTCCGCTGGACGGTGAGCTGTGCCCAGACAACAACGCTAATTCCACATACACTGAAACTAGTAACCGAGAGGATTCGCCCGTGAGTAACTTTATTGAATATTTGCTAGATTTTTTTTTTATTTCCCCTGTTTGGCAGACGAGCACTCACCCAATGGTGCGTGGTTACCGTCGCCTACGGACGTCAGCAATGCTTCTCCAAGTAATAATATTTTTTAATCCAATTAATAACAAAATATTCTTTAGTTTGATAATTGTAGCCTTTTTTGCTAGATTAAATTTGGTTGTGAAAAATTTGTGAAAAAAAATTACATTACTACAATACAGGGTAACCAAAAATCGTAGATTTTTCCAATGATACTTTTATATTCACGCAAGGTTATAGGGAAAATTTCGTTAGCGCGATTCAGTAATTTTTAGGATTTATTATAGCTGACGCTACATATAACATACATTACGTAAAAAATGTAATGTTTATTTGAAAAGCTGAGCAAAATACCTACCGTTTTAAAAGTTCGTATTTAATGACCCGCATTGTGTAGCGAAGTGGCTAAGTGACGTCACTCAAGATTATTGACCCCGCCCATCAGCTGCTGAATATGTTATCATTAATATCACCTTTATAATGCTATGTATAGATAAAGCATACATTTTCGCAGATACGATACGAAAAGTTAACAATATTATGGTTCGACGTTAACCTATGTAATCTTATAACTCATTAATTTCCCAATATAATAGTAATGTTGAACCTTAAAATTAAAATGCAACTTAAATTCAACGTATTCTAATAAATATTGTTTACCTTTCCCATATTAATTATATATTATCTATACATTTATCTATAAATAACTAAACCATTCAAACGATCTTCATGGAACTTGGTACAGTGGCACTTCAGGGAAGGCTTTGGTCATAGCATAGCATAGGTGAATGGACGATTATCATTACCATATTATCAACACGTTTCTAGTTTTAAGAAATCTATTATTTTAATACCATTAGATACTAGATGACAGATGATGCATCTCAATTAGTTATTAAGTGCTATATAATTAGTAAATTACTTAGTTATTAAATGATAGAGTTTTAAAAGCAGCAACGTGCTAGCCAACCTTAATCTCTAATATTCCTTTTTTATTCAGAAAACCGTGGCCTAAAGGATAAGACGCCCGGTGTACTCATATCGAGCGATGTGATTGTGTTGATGTTCGAATCCCGTAGGCAGATACAATTTTTTTCTATTTAAATACGTATTGAAGACCAGCTCTCGAACGAATTTTACTCATCAAATACCAAGTACACCTTCCTATCGATAATCACTTGACTAAGACCCGTACCATCGATCTCACATCTACTTATTTCACCGAAATAATAGTAGGATAAATAAAAATTAATATATAAATACATTTTATTTATTCAAGTCGCCAGTACTTATACATGTTAGTTAGTAAAACTTAATAATTATGTCAGAATATATAAAGCTACTTAATTAAAAACCAGCGAGCCAATGCTGCAGATTATAACACATTTGAGACTGTGGTATCCGTTGTAACTGTACTGATACCTTAGAACTTATATCTCAAGGTGGGTGGCGCATTTACGTTGTAGATGTATTATGGGTTCCGGTAACCACAGAAAAGAGCTCGTCCACCCATCAAAGCAAAAAAAAGCCTGACCTCATGTCTCAAGGTGGCTTGAGGCATGCACCCGGTCCATAAAACGAATAAAGCAGAAAATAAAATGATACAATATTTCATAAGATTATATTACAGGGTAGTTAGTTACGAGACCCGGTAACGTGTTATTAGGTATGTAAATGTATAATTTCACGGTCCGACGGGTCTAGTTATTGTTTTTGTGTCGTTCATTGAGTCACTGGGCGGTGCCGAGGGCGAGGAGATGTTAACGCCCCCGGCGCGTTCAGAACACTAGGTTTTTTTATGCGATTATTAAAATATTAGTCATGTAAATATGTATATGTATGTATATAACTGAGAGGTGAGACATATAAATGCTACGTTCAGTATGTTTATATATTACGTCGCCCGCTTCACTGGGCATTTAAAATTAACATTATTATTTATTGCCATTATTGTTAGGGCGTCCAACACTCATATAAATATTAGCCTATCCATTAAGTACATGTATTTTCTACATGGATACCAAGTTTCAAGTCAATCGGATGCATGGTTTAGTAGTTACAACGGAACATCCGTAAATACCACTGTAGATTTATATATTAGTATATTATTATTTATTGCCATTATTATTAGGGCGTCCGACACTCATATAAATATTAGCCTATCCATTAAGTACATGTATTTTCTACATGGATACCAAGTTTCAAGTCAATCGGATGCATGGTTTAGTAGTTACAACGGAACATCCGTAAAAACCACTGTAGATTTATATATTAGTATATTATTATTTATTGCCAGTATTATTAGGGCGTCCAACACTCATATAAATATTAGCCTATCCATTAAGTACATGTATTTTCTACATGGATACCAAGTTTCAAGTCAATCGGATGCATGGTTTAGTAGTTACAACGGAACATCCGTAAAAACCACTGTAGATTTATATATTAGTATATTATTATTTATTGCCAGTATTATTAGGGCGTCCAACACTCATATAAATATTAGCCTATCCATTAAGTACGTGTATTTTCTACATGGATACCAAGTTTCAAGTCAATCGGATGCATGGTTTAGTAGTTACAACGGAACATCCGTAAAAACCACTGTAGATTTATATATTAGTATATTATTATTTATTGCTATTATTATTAAATGGGGCGTCCAACACTCATATAAATATTAACCTATCCATTAAGTACATGTATTTTCTACATGGATACCAAGTTTCAAGTCAATCGGATGCATGGTTTAGTAGTTACAACGGAACATCCGTAAAAACCACTCTAGATTTATATATTAGTATATTATTATTTATTGCCATTATTATTAGGGCGTCCAACACTCATATAAACAATATAAGGTCGTTGAATTTTTATATTTCATCATCATCAGCCCACGGTCGTTCACTGCTGGACACAAGGCTGTCCCAATTCACACCACTGAGTAATATTTATATTTAGTAATGTAAAAATTTCAAAAACTTTGTTTATCATTTTGAACGCATCTATATTTTTTTGTGACAGAGTATGGATCCGATAGTGGAAAATAAGGATATGGGATAGTTGTTTAGTTGTTTTCTTGTTTTTCATCTATTTAAATTACAGATATAACAGGGATGTCGTTCCGACGCAAACCATAATGTGTTTTGTATGTTTACCTACAATTATCTTGCGTAGTTAGCTTTTAGAATTATCTTATGGCTTTTAGGTTTTAATATATAATTGCGGTTTGTTGCGGGTGAAACCGTGGACGCAGCTAGTTTAAATAAAAGTAGGCAAAACCTCGCCCTATTTTCTTTGGTTTTCAGCTCGTTTTCTTTTTGGATTTAGTGATTATATCCTAAATTCAATCATTGGGTTATCATCAGTATTTTTTTTTGTTTATGTTGTTGTGTTGTTTTTTTGTTTTTTTTTTTTATTATTGCTTAGATGGGTGGACGAGCTCACAGCCCACCTGGTGTTAAGTGGTTACTGGAGCCCATAGACATCTACAATGTAAATGCGCCACCCACCTTAAGATATAAGTTTTAAACTCTTCAAACCGAAACGCATTACTGTTTTACGACAGAAATAGGCAGGGTGGTGGTGCCTACCCGCGCGGACTCACAAGAGGTCCTACCACCAGTATATAATAATATATTTAAAGCATACACATGTTCTTGTAGTAATCTTTTAATGAAGTTATAAAAATGTTATGGGACTGCAGAGTAAGGCCGAAGCTGAGTACGCGAACTGCCTCCGCGTGATGGCCGGCCTCAACGGGGAGATTCGGACGTTGCGCGAGCGTTTGAGCGCCGCGAACGCGGAGAACGAGCAGCTGCTCGCGATTCGCGACGAGTTGCTCGCCGCGCAGCCGGAGCGCGCCGACCCGCCCGCCGACGGCGACGACGCGGCGCAGTACCGCGCGCGCCTGGCCGACCTGCAGGCAAGACCACCGCACTTATATAATACTAGCGGCCCGCTCCGCTCGGGCCTTTAACAAAAATTTCAATGACGTGGTTTTATTTTTTTAAATAAAAGAACACTTATTGCGGCATAACTATAATAGTTTGACATATTATTATGCTGTCAGGACACTTTGTAAATAATGATGTGTTCTACAAGGTCGTAGTACATTATTTTATTCTATCGTCAATAGTTTTCGCAGGGCACGCGATGTAGAGATATTTTAGGTAATTATTTTTCACTTTGGGTTATATTATTGCAGATTTAGTAAGGATCCCTAATTTTTTTTCAAAAAATATAATAGCCTATGTTACTCGGGAATAGTGTAGCTTTCAAACAGTGAAAGAATTTTTCAAACCGGTTCGGTAGTTTCGGAGCCTATTCAATACAAACAAACAAACAAATATTTCCTCTTTATAATATTAGTATAGATATCGCTCATTTGGAGGGACTGTGACAACTGTTAATTTGGAAATTTTACACTACGCCAGTTTTAAGATTTTTTTCGTAATACTAATGAAGAATCTAAATATTTCTGACAGGTAATGACTATCTCTATTATTATACTTTTGTAGTTTGAAGTCTGGGCTTGAAAGGAGACTATTTTTGAAGTTATACTTCTTTAGGCGCGTTATGAAAAATTGATGAGAGTGAGATTTTACGATGTGCGCGCACCGTGACACAAAATTAACAGAATGAAGTTGCTCACTAAATCGCTCATTACAATACGACCGACGTAACTTGGCTAGTCTGAATATAGCCGCAGGTGAACTTTCCGAACCGTACCGAGAATTACCGAATTTATACGATGTCAAGAAAAGGGATGTCCAATATACGTGTTTGAGGATGTTCTTTAATCGATTTTTTTTCAAATTTATTAAATTTTAAATAAAAAAAAAGAAATAAATTTCATAAAAATAAAGAATAACTTCTTACGCGCGTACATAAGTACACGCACCATTTTTTTTTTTTAAACAAGCAAACCATATCTAAATGGAAACATTTTTTAACAATTATGTCACTGTCGCTCCAAATGAGCGATATATACTGGGTGTTAAGAGACTGCTTCCGAAAACGAAGACAGACAGACGATAGTACTAATGACTGAGACCTTTGATGATGGGACGGACAAAAAATATCGATCCTGATTTAAATAAACTATAGTTTAAAAAACAAAAACGCTTTTATAGAAAATCACACTAAAAAATAGAAAATAAATTTTAATAAATATGAATTAAAAATAGTGTAAGAAAAAATGAGTTTATTGTAAAAAAAAGCGTGGGGTGCTTTTCAGGATATTATCAAAATAACCCTTCTACTCATATCTGTTCATAAAATATTTATAACTATTGATACCATGCACCCCACGCTTTTTTTACAATAAATTCATTTTTTCTTCATGCTAACATACTAACATACATACGTCTGAAGCTAGTAAAATCGTATTAAAAAAACATATTTTTAAAACGTTTTATAAGCATTATTTACGCTCCATCATGTTAGCTAAATGAAACGATAGTTTCATAAAAAATACATTACTAAAAAAAACCCAGCAATGAAAGACAAAATCAAAAGCAGCTGATGCTGGGTTCAACGAACGCATGGGCGGTGAGCGATGAAATGGTATATGATAGATAGAGGGGTATGGAACATGTTACCCCAGGTGATTGATTGGGAGAAGGGCAAGAGAATGATGATGAGTTCCAGTTGATATAGATTTAGACTTTGGTATGGTACGGAGATGACAACATAATCAATCTTAAGCAATTTTTTGGTACGCTCTACTCCCCATCAGATATTGGTTATTCGAAAATATTTAAATATTGTAATCTGGTTTCAGGCTCAACTCACTCGTTCGACGGTAGCCGAAGAAGCGAACCTTGCCGAAATTCAACGTTTGGCGTCGAACGCGGCCGAGATGCAAGCCGAGCTAGCCTTCCGGCCGACGCGTTCCGACGTCGATGACTTGACCTCCGTTATTGAAAAGCTGCGCGCCGACCTCATGGTCAAGGATCAACAAATCGAGCGGCTCCTGGCGGGCGCCGACCGGGACCGGGCCGCCGCGGACAAGGCCGTCGAGACGACACGATCCCTCGAGGACCTCGGCGGGATCGACGACGACTGCGCCGACCGAAGCGTCGACGCCGGGAAGATATCCGCCGAAATCGACGAGATGTTCCGGCTCGACTTTGATGACGACGAAGATGACGAAACCGACTCGGTCGCCACCGTCGAAACGAACCGGGAGGAGGTCGGGGAGCGCACGCGGCTGTCGGACGAGCAGCGGCTGCAGGTGACGCTGCAGAACGGGAGCCTGCACGCGCTCGAGGAGGAGCTGGTGCGCGCTAAGGAGCGCTGGGCCGAGGAGAGCTGCGAGCGCGCCCGGCTGGCGGCGCAGCTGGCGGCGCTGCGCACCAAGTCTCCGCTGCAGACGCCCGTGCTGGCGCTGGTCGCCCCGCTGCTGGCCGCCGCGCTGTACTGGCTGCTGCTGCCCTACATCTCCTGATGGACGGCCACGTGGGACCCGCCCGGGTTCGCCTAGCCCCGCGCCACCTCTACCCGTCCCCCCCTCCGAATCTTTGCTCATTCTCTTTGTGCCCGTTTCGACTATATCGGTCGCGTCGACACTTGCACCTCTCCCCGCCCTTCTACTCGAGTATCCGGGTGACGTGTGAACGTGACTCATTAGCGTTGCGTCGTGGAGAGCTCAGATATTTTGTCGATTGAGAATGTTACTTGTGTGGGACGGTTTTTGTCGGGTCGTCTGTGTGCGTGTGTGTGTGTGTGGCAATCATTTGAACGCCAAAGGGAATCCCGGCTTCGTGGTGTGATCGGAATCAGAAGTGCCATGATATCGCGTGACGCAGCGACCACCAGCAGCGGTCGCTTTGCTTCGTCGCCCGACTGTGCGTTTCGTGTGGTGTCTCTGAAAATTGATATCGCGCGTTGATAAAGATTAATGAAATTGAATGTTGAAATCTGCCATAATAAATAAATTGTAAATTATAAAAAAATAAAACAAATTCTAAGGCCTAACAACGACTGCGCTCGTTTTATAATATTGTTGTGAATCTTGTACAATTTAATTAGTCGTCTGAGCGATTTTGAGTGGTGACGAAATCGATCAGGTTATTATTATTATTATTGTTGTAAATTTTTGACGGTTTATAAATAGAACGATGTATTCATAGTAACTTGTATTTGTTTAATTTGCATCGAGGGGGTGACGACAGACCCGAACATATCATTGTTATAACTCCGCGGTCCGACCTATCCATTGGCTCACGATCCAATCAGGACTTTATCTTCGAATCGTTTGCATTTTTCTAGTCTTTAAAACTGTATATTCAGCCTCGGTAGGTTGCGGGACTAACTGCATTTTGGTTATGCAATTTTTAGAGCCAGTTTTCAAATCGAATATTCTAATGAATTGTCATTCGAAGAAGCATTTAAATGCATCTCTCACTATGATAGTCTTTGTATTATTTATGCGTAGTTATGTTTTAGTTTCGATAATTCACAAGATTTTAGTTTAGAGATGTTTTGTGCATGGGGTTTAGGTGTTATTGTGCCACTTGCTGTTCACGGTCGTGTCGTATAGTTTGTTTCGTTTTTATGAAGATATATTTTTAGTTGTATAGTGGAAGGCACAAGTTTACTATGTACAAATGTTATGGTGACTCTCGGCTAGCTGATGTGCCGTTCGATCCTCGATATAGCTTAGCTCTGTGATGTGAAGGCCAATAGATATTATCGTAACGAACTTGTCTAACTAAAGTTTTATTATACTCATAGAATTTATATAACAACCACGTCGGAGTTCACTGTCTATAAATATTTATTATTTTATATTGTTGCACTGATTTTTGTTATGTTCAATGTTTTATTTTGTGTTTTATGGAATACCTTACCTAACTGTAAATATTTAACTAGTATTCGTTTTTTTTAATTTAGTTAAATTTCCGTCGAAGACTATGTTGTATTTTATGAAGTAATTAATATGCATTCAATGTGGATGTGTAACTGATAAAATTTATTGGAAATAATACATATTGATTTGTTTAAAAAAAAAAATAATGTTGTTTTAATTTTCGAAATCGCAATGCTAATAAATAGGGAGATATGAAATATTTTGTAAAAAAAATATGTGTTTTTTAGAACGCCCACAAGCCACGTCAGATCGTACCAAAATAGCTGCAACAGCTAGTAAATGGTTAATGAAAAAAGTGGAATGACGTGTACAGAGAGTATGACGCAGCCGCGAAATAATAGTCTGACTAACGAGTTTCGAGATACGTAATTCAGTAAATGCGACACGTTGCTCTGTTTGAGTGCAAACTAATAGAGTTATATACGGACCCTCCCACATCTATGCTCCTAATAGAATGTGTGTTTGAAACATTGAGTCTAATATCGGGTACGCGCCGCTCTGAGAATCGGTAAATCAATGAAAAAATATTATATTTGTTAAAGCTTCTCATCACGTAGTATGTACGCAAATTACAAATAACAAATCAAAATAATTTAACGAAAATCAACTCACACAGTAGAACAAATCTTGCAATACGCCTGAGTGAGGCACAGTTCCCAAGATACTGGCTATGTTACCTCGTTGGACAGCCAGACTCACTCTCTGTGCAAAGTACCAGCCAGCCTTAGCATCACGTGTAGCCAGCCACCTTCAAGCGTTTGGAGATTTCTGATAAAAAAATCTTTGCTTCAGGGCCCCAGGGCAAAAAAGAATAAGAAGACCTTTAAATGCTTTAATCGAATATTTGACGGAATACCGGTGGTAGGACGTTTTGTGAGTTTGCACGGGTAGGTACTACCGCCCTGCCTATTTCTGCCGTGAAGCAGTGATACGTTTCGGTTTGAAGGGTGGGGCAGCCGTTGTACTGTAAAAACAGAGACTTAGAACTTTAGCTCAAGGTAGGTGGCGACCTTTACGTTTTAGATGTCTATGCGCTTCGGTAACCACATAATACCAGGTGGGCCGTGAGCTCGACCACCCATCTAAACAATAAAAAATGAAAAGTCTAACTCCAAAGTCCATTGATATGACAATCTGAATGACACCATCCATCATTAGGCATGTCAAAATCTCAATTTCATTGTATAATGAGCGTCGAACCACTCAAAATGGAATGCATTAGTTGGGGCAGCGCATCTGTAGACATTATAATGCGATTTTCACTACCTATCACATTAAGAAAAGTATACGATAAGAATATTTTATTTCGGAACTGAGATTAAACTATTGTTTTAGTACCTATTATTAAAATCCACGTGCGTCATTGTAATTTTATACAGCATAGAAGGCATTCGTGAATATAATGCATAGACAAGACATAGTTAACACTAATTTTATAGTTTTCTCGAAGCAGTTAATCTAAATTGTATTATCTAAATACATGCTAATGATAAAAGTCAACTTCTCGATGAACGATTTCAATGATCTCTCGTTTCTTAAAGTACATAGACTTCATATTTTATTACAAGTAGTGCATACTATGATCGCGCCGACTGTAGCTAATTTATTTGTATTATCTATGTACAGTACTGTAGTATGTATTTTCAGTAGATTTTTTGAAACCGTGCTAAAAGAAGAAATATAAATATACAAATAAGAGAACACACTGTGTTAGGGATAAAAATAACTATTAGCTTATATTATATTTATCGGTTGTTAATTTTTTTTAATATAACAGAATAATGAAGGGAAAATGTATTAAGTACGTTATGTGGGTTTTAGAAAAATATTTACTGCGACATCGTACGTTCCAATGGCATATATTAGCGGTAATTTAATAAAAAATATCCTATATAATAGGAGCTAGAACTGGCAAACCTATCACCTCCCAGGCATAAACTCAGCGGTATCTAGAACGTTCGACAGTTCGTTGACCTCCAAACTTCAAGATTTGCCTACGTAATGATCTTTCCGCATTCACAGTAGTTGGCCTAGCGAACCTAGGCAGCTCTTTTTTATTGTCCTTGTAGGCAGACGAGCCTACGGCCCAACTGATGGTGAGTGGTTACTGTCGCTCGGGGACGTCAGTAGTGGCAGGGGCAGAACCAAGTCGCTGCTGCCACAAAGCGATCGTTAGATAATTTGTAAAAATTCTAATAGCTGTATTGTATGTTATGCTGTACGCTATGTTGCAGAGCTACATATAGCTATTTTATTTAATTAGGTATACTTATGTGGTTACGCCCTTTGTATCATCAATACTACTTTAGGCTTCTACAGAGTCCTTAATATACTAAACATATTAATCGCGGAAGCATTTACGAAAACTACTTATTGGTCCCCGGAAATAATGTCTTTACATTTCGATAAAACCGAAGATTGGTTTGGATGGTGGGACAGTAATTCTTCAATACAACAGATCTCATATTTCAAATTGAGAGGTGGCATTAAAGTAATTATGAATACCAAATCGGTTGGGTAACCGCTTCATATGAGGTGGTCTTCGAAATCGTCGGTGCATTCAGAGTTAAAACAAAATTAAAGACGTGATTTATCTATCAATCTGTAAGTAAGTAGTTTCCGTCGGCAAAATAAGCCTAGTCGCCGTATGCAGCTTGCTGGTAAGAATTGTAATTGAATATTTGAAAAAAGCTACACGTCCCCTCAATGAGATTCATTTAGTCGCTTCAGCTTACCTCAATACCTCACTGATAATCACCTTCGAAATTGCTTAAATATCATAGCATTTAGCGTGCACATAAACACAAAAATAAACATGCAAATAGTTTGTTTATGTTTTTATTTTATGAGTAATTAAATTTTATTACTACAAACAAATATTCGTCTGTGGCTGGCGGACGATAGAAGTTTTAAACTGGAATGCAGTTTCCGGTTTAAATGGAAAACTGACGACACACGATTAACATTTATTTTTAAACAATTAATTTTCATTAACATCTGTACTCCTTCCCTGTATCAGGTGTAGGCGCAATGTGTACTTTTTCGATTATGTCTATTTTAGTCATACGTTTGTTCACTCCGATAACATTTTTATCGTTACACATTTGGGAGAAAACAACATGAGGAAGATATTCTATCAAGCTGGTGAACTTGCTAATTAGACCGACGGTCCAATTATTATTATTTTTTGGAGCTTGTTTTTATGCAAAATTCGAAAATGTCGTTAGCGAGATTCAGGAATCTATCAAATATCTTGTGTTCGATAGCTACCTTTTTTTATCTTTCTCTTGTCTTGTTTTCACTTATATGTAATTTGATCACTGTGTTAAAGTATTTACATTTCATCACTAAATCAAGTCACGCTAACCTTCTTACTCTTAGTTTTACCATTCATGTGGGCTTTGACATACTTGGACTCTTCCAGGCGTTCATCTTAACATTCCGTAGAGTGCATACGTCTATTGTCACGTACCATATTCTACAACGCACGGTAAGCATCACTGGACTAATTGTCTTCTTTAAACAAATAAATTATGTTTTTCATGCTGATTTAATTCGAAGTTATGGAAAGCTACAGTTAAAGATGTATTTTCAAACGTAATGGGTTAAAATGTGTTCACCGAAAATTCGTTATTTTGGTATTTTTGATTTTATTTATTTGTATTTTGCACTGATTTCTCAATATAAATCTGTGTA